ATGCTATAGGAAATAGTGTATGCCTGGTTTACGTGCAAAACAGCAGCAACGATCCGTTGCTGCAGCACATGTGCAGCAAAGTATGGGTTTGTTTTTTTTTAATCACAGGTCCTTCACTAAGAGATGCACTGCTAAAGACTTTCTTTCATTACACTGCTGAATAACAAAAAGAGACGTTGATCCTATAATAATGTAATATTTACACGCAATCCCAGCAAACGAGGTAGGAATGGCAGTAGGTTTAGCTAAACAATAAAGAAAAATCAAGTAACTTTTGCCAGCAAATCATCCAAGCAGTATTTGTCATCAGTAATTTATTACTCAAAAGGAAGAGTATGATTTACCCAGTAGCAATTGTGGTGCCAGATATGCTTGCGTAGATAAGGATTTTGGCTAGCAACAGTCTGTGTACATACAAATAGCAACTTAGTGATAGTGGATTTAGAACAGGCCGAAGTCTCACCTTAAATTGTAACAAATCTGTATATTTACTGTTTGAAAGCTTGTACTGTGAATAACAGGAAATTAAAACTATATACATTCATAATAATGTTGAGAAAATATATTTTTAAGTTTTTCCATAATCTCTGCATAATTGTTATTCATATTCTGGCTTATAGTCAATTATAAATATAGTTCTCCACTACCTTAATTAACACCACTACTCTCATGCACCTGGCATGTCTGTACAAGGGAAATATTTCACAATATATTTGAATAGTTTCACAACTGCTGGAAACGTCTTCTGATTGTCTGTGGTAAGAAAGGTACCAGTATGTAAGCATGTATTGATGCACATGCAACAGGTGCCTTGTAAGCACTCCTCCTATCACAAGTTCTAAAGCAGTTTTCCCTGAACGTAACAAACAGGAAATCTTCTCTCTGCCCAGTCGTATAAAACTATCATTATTGGCTAGTGAGCTGGGTAAGGGATATAATTTTGTAATATTATTAGAAGACTGATTAACAACAATGCACACGGCACAGAATATTTCAAACTTTCTATTTATAGTGCAAAGCACACATCTTTTATTACGTTCTGGAACTGATCCTGGGGTAGCTCTTCACTAAGTTGTTTTCTCTGGTGATAAAGAAGCACTGAGAGTGTTCTCATTTGTACTTGCTACCTCATGGGCTGCTGTCACAAACAGTGTGCAAGAGCTTAGAAATGTCTGGCACGTGTCTTTTCCTACACTGCACTTTCCTTTGCAGTAGTTGCAGAGCAGAGACATTAGCTGCTGTGCACCACCATGAGATCCCATTTATATAAGAGTCCTCCTGTAATCAAGAAAGCAACATTTAGATCAGCTATAAACTAGCCATAATTCTCTGATCAAGGCAAAGTGTGCCGCTTTCACACTGTCATTAATAGGAACCATTGAACTGAGTTTGTTGTAAGGCAGCTATGCCAATCCTGCAAATACTACCTTGTTTCAATGGATGAAGAACTGCGAGGTTTAGACTAGTAACTTCCTCCCTTCGGCATTAGCAGGCAAAGTTACTAACATCAGTTTCCAGCGTCCCAGCAGATACATGATACTTGGTGATCATTATTCTACAATCACTTACTAGACAAACATCCAGGGGATCCTTCTTAAGGCAAAAATTATGAGAGGTTTTAAAAAGTCTTCTTGGTAACAGCTATTCATACAAGTTACGCAATACAGATTTCCCATGCATCAGCTACTCTGTAAATTGTTACAGGCATGCTCTTACTGCATGGAGGGGTGGATGCACTTTGAGCAGAGGCTGTTAGCTCAAAGACTCTCAGCATCTTGAAGTGAAATTCTGATTCTCAGAATAAATATGCAAAAGCTGGAAATATCCATTATGATTTACATTTAGTGGTCCAAACACAGCTGTCTGAAAATGCTCAATGGTAGTGTAAATTACAGACTATCCACCAGAGGGAAGCTCATGCATGCATACAAAGAAAAATAAATAATTTGAAGGATGAATGAAACACCCCCCTAATATTTAAGCCAAAGCAAATTCTATTCAAAATGTTTCTTAGCAGTAGCATAGACTTCTTGAGCTTGGAAAGTTTTCAGAAGTTATTTGCCAATCTAAAGGTAACAGATTTAACAGAAAGTTTCCTGTGTTAATGACTGAATTGTTGCACTACATATAATATGCATGCACACAAAAAACTTCACAGATTTAGACTTTTTTTTTTTTTAAACACAGAAATGCATCCTAATTTCAGTGCTGTTAACAGAATTAGACAAGAGCTTACATGGTCAGAAGTCCAACTGCGTGTTCGTACATTAAAAGCCCCACCCACATTTGGTCACTAAAATGAGTAAGATACTGAGTTGTTCAGCCACTGTTGTGTTTAGCATGTTATTGAACATACTACACTGCTCCCCTTGTTAATGGAAATATTTGTTAAATTTCCCATAAAGTTTCTGTACTACTAGTGTAAATTTGACAGATACTTTTAGAGAATATTAAAGACAGCTTACAAACAGTCTGAAGTTTTCATAGTGATCCAACAGTCACACAGAGCTCTTCAGAAACATGCTCGCTAGCTATTAACTCTAATATCTGTGATATTCAGTCTAATAGCCTGTCTTCAGAGTCTTACTCAAGGAACTCGTAGCATTTCAACACCTGTCTGGGATCTTTTTTGAAACAGAAATCCCAGGCTGTTGCTGCAATTCTGAGATTCGTTGGTTTTCTTGTTTAAATGAAAGATACAGCCAGAGGCAGAGGCCATCTGGCAAGCAAACTTCGACTGAAGTGGAGAAACATGTTTGTGAAAAATGTAAGGACAGGTGCTTCAGAAGTTCAACGAGATCCATACAGCACTGGTTTAGAACTATACTAATGCTGATACCAATAGTTGTACAGACAACTGCTCCTTGCCATCAAAAGTAAAGTTTTAAAGAGGAAAATCTTACAGAGGTGTCACCCAATGCTACAGGCACATACAGGTTCTTTTAGGGATCCTTAGTAGAATGAGGGCTGCCACAGGGTTGTAGTTACCATTAGAACTTTATTATTACATTAAAAAATTAATTATCAGTGTAGCTTATTGTTATCTACAATTTCTAGCAGTTAGGATAGCTTGTTGTTACACAGAATTTTTAGCAATTATCATAGCTTCCAGTTAAACAGAATTTCTAGTAATCAGTATAGCGTTCTTACTATCTAAAGTCTTTAGTTACCTAGGCTTTTAGTCACCTGGGCCCTCTGCAGATCAGGTCAAATTCTTAATAATCAGCATGTGATACAGTAATCATAATCTAGATTCAGACTTTACCTAAAAGAACCTGCCTGTCCCTGTACCCTGTAGCATCGGGTGACAAGAGGTACTGGGCATCTCTCCCTGAATTTTTGGGTTTTTTTTTGTTTGGGTTCCCCCCCCCCCCCCTTTTTTGCAACTTAGTTCAATCTAGATATGCCACTGGCAATAAATTAATAAAAAGCCCTTCCAAAGTTACTCCTGGAGAAATAATGATGTATATAAAGGTGATTTCATTAGAAGAAGAGACATTGCCCAGCACTTCCTTTCATTAGTTGATTTTCACAAGTGGTTTTCAGAAATTCCCTTTAGAGTACAAACAACTGGTTTGGGTTTTTCCCGTACCCAATCTGTATTAAATGTAGTTAAAAATAAAAGGAACTGGAATCATGTATCATATTAAATCCAAATTAAAATCTTTATTACACAAATAGTATTTTGAAGATATAATACTTGATTTCAGTGGAATTATTCTGGATTTGCTTTTGATCTCATTATACTCTTATGAGATCAAAAACAGCTAAGCTGATTTGGGGGTGGTGGTGTTGCAATCCTTTTTCCATGGTGAAAGGTACTTTTCAACTTATTATGCACTACATTTGCCAGGTTTGTAAAATTCTACCTCAACACTTAGGGAAATAATCTGTATCATAGTCTTAAATTTAAGAGAGCGAGCTATGCGTAAGTCCTTTTTTCTGTGCATCTTTTTTATGGAAAACACCCTTCCAGTTTCACTTCTGTGACTCTTGAACATTTCTGTTCGTGCTGCTGTTTTAGTTCCTCCTTTAACATTTTAGAAATGAACTTCAAAAGATGATGTTTTGTCATCAGGATAACAAAATATTTTCATATTCTTTGGCTAGACACTGAAGAACTTAGGATTCACACAGGATTTGAATACTGCACTGACTACCAAGTTTCCTAGGAGATAAAGTCACAGCCTATTGCTGGCACAGCACGAGGACAACGTAATAATAAATTTTCTCTTTGACACAGAGCATTTCCTCCTATAACCCTATATCCAGACTATTCTGATGGTTATTATTTGGCTAAAGAACTGCAATTTCCCAGAGCATTAGAAATACAACTCCCACCCACTTTATTGTACCAGTACAGTCTCACTATAGGACTAATGTTGATTTCCTTTATGCCAGCGTATTTCTAAAGCATGATTGACTGTTTTCTGCTGAATTAAAAAAGATGACATGAAGGCAGTAAGCACAGCTTTTTATGCTTTGGAATGGAATTTCATGTCAAACATATAATGCACATTTGTGGTTTATCTGCCACGCCTCTTTTTTTGGCTTTTATAAAATAAAATGTTGAGTTATTCATACAAACAAGAGTAGAATAGCATAAAGAGGGTTTCTTTCTCCTCATAGCTGTTGATTAGATCAGTAACTTTAACAAAGTAGCAAGCCTCTTTAAATAGGGACACTTTTGAAAGACCACTGACATGCTTTAAAATCTGCTGAAGGATGATGGATGTATAACTAAAAGCAAAGTCAGGTGCTGCATTGTATTTTTATTTTTGCTTTGTACGCAAAAATGCACACTGTCTTCCTAAACAACAGGAACTGCCATATGTGGTCAGATGTTTGTAAGAGTGAGCATTAGGATGTGAACTCATACGCCATATTAGTCTACAGAATATCAGAGAACTTCCGAGTAGTTCACGAACACCTTCAGAATAAAAGCAGAGTGCAAAGCAACGAGGATATTGGCAACTGAGAAGAACTGAAGAATTTCCAGAATGAGTCAAGCTGAGGAAAACAGTATCCACTCGACATGGAATATTGTGAGGTCAGTAGTCTGCATAATACTGAGCCTGTCATTTATTATTGGGACCCCTGGAAATTGCATCGTCATCTGGACTGTTTGTAGAAAAATGAAGCAAGTATCTCCTTCAGTTCTGCTGATTTTGAACCTGGCCATTGCAGATGTCCTTGTGCTGATTACTTTACCAATTTGGATTTACTCCTTTGCTGACTCATGGGTTTTTGGAGTCATCTTCTGCAAAATACTGGTTTTCATTATTTACTGCAGCATGTATGCTAGTATATTTCTAATTACAGCACTGAGCTTGGAGCGGTTAATGTCTGTGTTTTACCCTTTCACAATTCAAAGATACAAAACAAAAGAAAAGATTTCTTTAATCATGTTCCTCATTTGGTTCCTGTCTATTACTTTTGGCATTTCTGTCATTCCATTTCAAGAAACAGAAGAAATGAACGGTGGACTACTATGCACATGTCGCAACTACTCTTCTAATAGACAGAAAGTCTCATACCTTTTGCTAGAGACTCTTGCGGGTTTTGTGATCCCTTTTTTAATTATATGCACTTGTTACATGTGTGTTGCAAGAAGAATAAGCAGAATGACTTACCCATCTAAGCGGCGATCGGAACGGCTCATTGCCAGCATTGTGGTGGCATTCATTCTATGCTGGTTCCCTCATCACCTCTTTAACATCCTAGATATTATTTCAATTCAGATAGAACTCTCTAATGAGGAAATGTCTTTGGCACTGGATGAAATTGTAGACAGGGGAGTGTACATCTCTGGAGCACTTGTATTCATCAGTAGCTGTATTAACCCTCTACTTTATGCTTTTGCTGCACGAAGATTTCAGAATCACCTAAGATTTGCCAAGATATCAAAGCTGTTTGAACAGATGAGTCAGACTGTAACAGAGGAAGACAAGAAAAAAGGTTTGGTTGTAACCAAACAAGAAGATACTTTACTAAGCACAGAAAATCTCTAACAAGGAACATAGGCTTGATGAATAATGTGATTCTGTGTCATTTCTTTAGTAGTCCTTTCTCCTCATACTCTCTGTTTCGTTTACTAAGCAATCCAGGTAAAACTAGAGACAGGTAAAAGTTATTAGAGTTTTGTGTGTTATAAAGAATTGGCATTGACCTAGTTCAGTTCCTAAGTTAGTATCCACGTCATGAAACTAGCAGTATTTCACTGGTGCTGAGAACCTCAGCAAGGTGGCCAGAAGCTCAAAGTGTAAGGAATACAGCATTTTTACTTTCCATTAAAATTATTTGTGATTCCTAGAAAGTCTGTGTACAGAAAACAGAAAAGGACTGTATGTGGAAAACAGAAACTTTGAAAGTTTAAAACTAAGTTTTCCTTCAGAAAAAATTGTAGATGCTCAAAAATCCTTATATAATCTAAAGTTTTAAGAGAACATATTTAAATTCTTGATATGGGTAAGAATGGCTTTAAAGTATATTAACGACACATAAAATTCTTTTGGGTAGATGGAAAATATAAAGCTATTTCTATTCATTGCTTTATTTAGGTTTGAAAGTAATAAAGGTTGTTTACACAGTCAAGCTCATTTATGAATTATCTTGTGTTAGTAGGTTTTAACAAGTAAAATGTGAAGTGTGACATGCCTTTTCAGAAGAAAGAAGGTACAAGAATTCTGTATTGTATGGCAAACAGTTACAGACTTCATGCTATATTTGATGTCAAATACATTGCATACTTCAGTGGCAATTAAGCTATTGATATATTGAATATACATACTATGAGTATCCTCAAATTCCAAGATGTCTATTAAATTATGGAGGAACTGGATCAGGCTCTGGTAGGAGGGAAGAAGAGATCCTTGATACTATTTTTACATGTAAGAAAATTATGGTAGCAGTACCAAGTGTCTAATATCATAAGAACTTCACCCTGCAAATAAAAACATTATTTTTTCTTCTCTTGTAGAATAGAGTGGACTTTGCCACAAGAAAGCAATAAATCTAGTGCTTGCAAGGACCTTATTGTAGTTTTGTGAATGTGTGCAAACTCACTGTGGAAAAACTGCATGGCATCAAGTGTTTACTTTTGAAGCTTTTTTATTTCAGTTGTGCCTAACATTTTTTATGCTTACCCTTGCTTATTTTTAAGTCAATGATTTGTAATAAGATCAAGATAACTACTGGTTACTAAGAAACATACTGTAATTTCCTGTACATTGTTATGGACAGCTGGTAAATAGCTATGTTACTCCTCTTTACAAAGAAATTACAATACTAACTAGAACTTAATTTTCAAAATCTGATTATGTAACAACCAAGGATATTTGAGTTGTATTAATTTAGTTTATAAACTGAAATAAACACAGGGAAGTAAAATCCTTACCTGTTAATGGAAGAATATTTCTATAAACTTTGCATATGTATTTGTTATTCCTGCTTGTTATGAAAAAGTCATTTTTTCTACCCAATAGGAGAAGAGTCCACACCACAGTGGGCTTTCCATCAATAGGACTCCTTCACTGAAATTAAAGTAAATAAAACTTTAGCAAGACCTTGTTTGCAGCAAAGAGTAAGCAGCAGATGAAATCCCTTAGACTTTACCCCATCCACCTATCACTTTTTTCACCCCACTAATAGCTCTTTAATTGCTATTAGTATATTCAATATAGCAATGTGGCATTATCTCACAATAAAAGCAGCAACTTTAGTTATCTATTGCATACAAAAAGTGAAGCTGTATTTCCCAATATGTTCTTGAGATAGGAGTCACTCACTATTCAACAACAACACAGAACAGATGAGGAGATAATAAGCACATGAGCACTGCAACTGAACTGGAGTTCTCGGCCACAAGGAGCCAAGCATTTCACAACTTACAGGTTGGGAAAAGACCCAGACAAACTTCAGTACAAGCTACCTGACCAGAATTTTCCTTTTTATCTGTGCCCTATAGCTATAATCCATCTTCTTATTAGGAATTGGGTTAAATCCCTAACCACCTCTGTGTATGTATCATCTATCTCATGAATGAAGCAGTCTTTTTGTGGCATTTGCTATTCAACAAGTCTTTTGGGAGCATTGACTGCATATTAAGTGTTTTATGCCCAGCCTAACCCAGGACAGACTATAAAGGGATCAGTGGCCAGATATATAGTCTGTGCAATACTGCCTACTGCAGTGGTGTTTGGTTTTTGTTTGTTTGTTTAAATCAATGGGTAAGGAATAATGAATCAGACCTTTTTTCTTTTATTTTTATCCTGTCACTCAGAACCAAGTGAACTTTGCTGCTCAGGCTGCATCCTGCCCAGCATCCAGGAGTCTTAAAAAGGGAACTAGTAACACTCACAGATCGGTAAATACATTCTAGGGAATAATGAAGTGATTAGTTAAGGCAGTTTTGAATTGAAAGCTGTTACTCTGAGGATTCAGAATCATTTACTACCAGGTGCTGCTCTTCCACTGAAATTACAGTACTTAGTATAGAGACCTAAACTAATTTAACTGAACAATGAGAATGTTTCTTATGGTCCACAGACCAAAAAGCAGCACATTAGCTATATTCTATTTCTGTGCTTTGACAGTAGATAGCATGAATTTTCTGCCTCAATATTCAGTTCTCACATTTTCTCCACTACTTTTTACTTACAATTGCAGTACTGATGTACTTGTAAAACATGCAGTCCATCAAGGAGCTAGAATCGTCCTCTTATGTTCATATTAATGGCCTTGGACGGCTGCCTCCAGTAGTCAGTTATCTTTAAGAACTATGTTTCTTTTGAAGGCTGTTTGAGGAGCGGTAAAAGATGCTAAAACAACAACCTTAACTGATTTCACTTTTCTACAGAGGAAATAGAGTTAATTCTTGTAAACGTCAATATGCACAGATAGAAACCCCACTAATTTAATATTTTTGGCAACACAGCCATGATGTAACTGAGTCCATATGAGTCAATGTAGAAGTATAAGCTGATGACATGGTTGACTGCTTCTTCCTTTAAAAGGTGTACATCAGGCCTATCGACGTAGCAAGATTTACCATTTCATCTATACTAATGTGCTCTATCACAAAACTACAGGGATTCCAGTAGGCCCATTCAGCCAAGGAACGGTGGCTATTCTCGTCCTCTAAAGTACTGAATCCCAGCCAAACCTAAGTCCTAGCATAGATTTGGTCCAAAGTGCTGCATCTTACGATAGTGATACTTCATGCTTCTTGTTGACTACATTACATATCCATCTTGTAGATTATATTGGAAGATTGATAGAAAGCAAAGACTTTCCTTGATTGTTCAAGCTAGTTCAAAGCAGTGACTTGGAGGTGAAAGCAGTCTTACTAGTAACTCTTGAGACACTTGGACCTTTCCGAGAAAAATGAGATTTCTTCTCATTTGAGTTCCTCTTATTTTTCTTACTTCCTAACTCTTCCGTCCTTGTTTATGAAGTCTGTCTCTGTGGTTTCAGTGTCCAGCTATTTCTCATGACACAGCAAGGAAGAAGGCTTAGCTAAGAGAGGGCCACTTCAGTCACCTGAGTCAAATCACCTCAGATTACACTGAAGTACAGGGAACATTATGTGGAATCAATGCAACACTGCTTAGAACACTGAGTACTAGGAGGTGACCAGATGGTTTTAATTTCTCATGTTTGTAAAAATTAATAATCTTCTAACATGAATCTCTAACATTAAAGTCTTGCCCAGCCTGAAACTTGCTGTGAACATTCCATGGGTATACATCAGAAATTTATCACATTTCCTGTAGTAGGATCTTGCTGCATAAAGTGGATTCATGCTGTATTAACAGGATTGAAGGAGAGCCTAAAGTATTTTTAGTTCATGGATAGCCAATATACAAGAAGGACAAAAAAGAACACAAAGAAAAAGTATCAGTCTTACACCTTTTGTTGTTCTGCTGACATCAAAAGTTTTCTGTAAGCATCATGGTAAAATAGTTATTACAGAGGTCTGGATTAAAACAGTGGAGCTTTGTGGATATTTAGAGGCAGCTTGTAATTTAAGAAGTAACACAAGGGAAATCACAGAGGTCCTTGTTTGCAGGCAGAAACAGTATAACTTTCTTTAGTGTAACTGCATTATACTAAAGAATTTTTTTTTTTTTCTTTAACAAAATCAGCAGAACATTGTCTAGGAAGAAGTAGAGCAAAAGTTAAGAGACATTTTAAAGACAGTTAAGACTGCAGTTATGGAACTCTTAGGATTACTATTAACAGGATTAAAAGAAAGATTTGCATGCAGGACTTGGGTGAAAGGAGTAAAAGAACCTGGAAGCTAACAGATGGCATGGAGACTACATAGGCATGCAAATTCTTTCACATTCAAGCAAGAGTCTGATCCATAATAAATATTTCAGAAGATGCAGAATTAGAAAATATTAACAATGGTGAAGTTTTTCTCTAGTTTTATATCCTACAACTCTTGTATTACTCCTTTTTCTGCATGTATAGGGAAAAGGGAAGGAGTAAGGAAAAATTTATATTTTATTGGAGTGGAAAAGCAAGTGAGAAATAAGTCAGTTAAGATTATTAAGAAAAATATGGCCTCAGAATGAAATTGAGAAGTTCAGCTATGAAAGCTGAATATACAGAGAGAACAAAGAAGGAAGTGAGAACTGTTCTGTTGCAAGGCAGTTTCAGGTTTTTGTAAATGCTTTCTTGTCAGATCAGTTAATCACTAAACAGTTCTTTATTAGAAAACTCCTCGGCTAGATCTCCACTGGTAGTTAATAGGTTAAAGAAAAAAATCCAATAAAACACAGTTTAGAGAGACATAACCCTGTCTTCTGAGAGTGTGAGTAGCTTGTGCTGCTCCTGTTAGCATTAAGAGTTGGGTGTGACCAGGGCTATGATGATGGCCACTAGGATTTCAGAAACTTTACAACACTGTTTACAGTACTAAGAAAATTCTTCCACTGATAGGTATGGAGATAATAGAATCGTATGCTATTTGATTCCTTCATGTCTTCTTTCCCCTTAACTCAAT